CTGCCGCAGTTGGAAGGGAGCAGGGAGGCCATCAAGACCACCCCGGCTTAATGCCGGCATCCACAGGGGAGCGCCCCAGAAGATGGCTGCCGAGCCTCGCCTTGACCCCCCCAACCCAGGGGAGCCCTCCCCCCGGGTTAGGGTTTCCGGTGCCGGACCCCTGCCAGGAAAGGTTTTCTGCTGTCGGTCAAACTCTGCCTCCCTGTGAGTGGCGCCCACGATTCCGGGCCCTGCGCTCTGGGGCCAGGGAGGAGCGCTCCTCTGGGCGCCCGTCCCAGCCTCCGCAGAGAGCTCTCGGGCGGCCCGTGGCCTTCGCCCCAGGTTCGGCCGCCCTGGTCCCCGGTCCCCCACGGCCCTCCTCAGAAGCCGCCCGTTTCCCTGCGTCCTTCTTCGCCCCGGCGCCCAGAACGTGATCCGCGCCTCAAGGCAGGGTCTGACCTGCGGACGGATCCCCGTCTCGCTCTCCCGACAAGACCTCGGAGGACCCCGAGCCTGCTCGGAAGGAAAAGCAGGGGTCTTCCTCCGCCCCCAGCCTTTGAAACGCCCCAATTTGCAGGCAGCTGTTACGGAGGCTGGGCAACGGGGGGAAGTCGCGGGGTGCCGGCCTTCGCCCAGGGGCCCTCTTCCTTCCCCAGAGCCACCGCTCTGGAGCTGCGCCAACCGCCTCAGCTCTCAGTGTGGAGACTCAGCGAGCAGTGAGGAAGTTTGCCATCCAAGGGGACTTTCCTCAAGCCAAACGTTGGCAGACGAGTACCGTGAAGAGAAGGGGGCCCTTGCCTGCCTCTGCGCCCGCTCCACCTCTGCCTCCAGAAGGGCTGGCGGTAGCTAGAGAACCCTCCAAAGGTGCCGAGAGGCGTCTGTGGCTGGGATTTGGGAAGGCAAAACCGGGGGAGCTCTGGCGTGGCCCCCGCATGACGTCTCTCTAGCGTGAAGAGTGTTGTCTCCCCACTGCCCCGTCCCCGATGCTGCCAGCCTGTCCCCACTGCAGAAGACAGGCCGAAGGCACAAGAATACCTCTTGGTCAATGTTCTCACACTGGACAGTAAGATTTGGTGGCTCTTGTTGCGTAGAGTAGGTTCCGGAGCAATCTTGGTCCACCTGCCCAAGGCAAGGAAGGAGCGGTCAGCCGTGGGGGACGCACACCTTGTTAGTTTCACAGACACACCAACGCGGAGAGACAGTCTCCAGGCAAAGGGGCCCTTTATGAAGTCGGCCCCAGGGGCGTCAAAGAAGTCAAGTTGGTGGCTGTGGCCATGGGATCCAGTCCTCCCCCTTTCCGACAGGTGTTGCATGCGCACTGCGCAGGGGGGTCTGCAGGGCGTGGCAAGAAAGTCAAGATGGCAGCTGAGACGGTGCAGTGCCCGTAAAGAGCAGGTGGCGCTTCAGCTGCCCCATCGGGGCTGCACGGGAGGGAGGAGGGGGTCTGCTGCAGGCAGGCGGGCTTAGGCCCTGCCGTGGGGGCTGACCAGGGGACCCCCGTGCCGGAGCTTCTGGAGCGGGGAAGGTGCCGGGAGGATCTCGGCACCCTGGCTGGGCCCGAGGCCTGGGCCCCTCTTGAGGGGTCTCCACCACTGAGCTGCGGGATGCCATGGAAAGAGGCCTCAGTCCCTGCTGGCGTCCTGAGAAGGGGGAAGTTGAGACCTGGGGGCCCCTGAAATGCACATCCCGACCCCAAAGGACCACACTGGGCAGAGGTCCTGCACATCTGGCGTTTGGAGAGGCTGGTTAGGACTTAGAGAGAGAGAGAGCGGAAGAGGCTGATGGGCTTATGCCAAGCCCTCGCCATTCTGGGCAGAACAGGGCTTCCGGGTGGCACCGGGCACTGAACCCTCAACAAACCCAGGTGGAGTTTGAGCCTCCCACGCGGGACTAACCCGGCGGTTGCTCTGGGGTCCGGGGCCCGTGTTCACACAACACCTGCAGGCAGTTTGTCAGGGAAGCCGCTGGCCGTTGCCTCGCAGGCTTCAAAGCGGGGAAGGCGAGCTGTGCTTCCCGGCCCTTTCCCCCCACGAGGGGAGCCCTCTTCCCGGCCGTCAGCCCCCTCGCTTGACAGGAGCAAGGGGGGTTCTGGCAGAGACTTCAGCCCCAGGGACTGGCCTGGGCCCTGGCCCTAAACTCTGGGGCCCTGAAAGGCGAGGGTCAGCGGCCCCAGACCGGAGGAAGCAGGCTGTGTGGCCGGGCGAAGACCCCCCGACGCGCCCCAAGGCTGCAGGGGCCACAACTTCCACCGACCGCCGGAAGCCGAAGCCAGCGAAGGGAAGCCGAGCGTCGGCTCGCGGGCGACTCTCACCCCGTCTTCCTTGAAATTGCACTGGGTGAGGTTCTGGCTCTGCGCGGAGGGGCACACCGTCTCCTTGATGGTGAACTTCAGCCCCTGCGTGGTTTTGCCACGGGGGTCCTGGGCAGAGACACAAAGGAAAGAGCAGAGCAAAAATTGAACCGGGGGTTTCCCCAACGTCCCCAGCCCCCCCCCCCGCCCCCCGGCGCTGGAGTAGAGCCTCGGCCTTGCCAGGGCGTTCCTTGGCAGGAGGCTGGCATCTTGCCTCCCTCCTCCAGACGCGACCGAGTGGCTCTTCTCGGCACTGAAGGAGGCGATGGTGGGAATTGCTGGCTTGTCGCGGGCAAGGTGGCCTGTCAAGAGGCCGTGATGGATTGCTCAGAAGAAGGGAACAGGAAAACTCTACCTGGGCACAGGGGGCATCGGAAGGAGCTGAGCGACTCTCCTGGCTACTGGATGAAAAATCAGGGTTTTTGAAAACCCTTTTTTTTAAAATGTCTTTTTAGAATCCAGTAAAGACCAGCCCTTTTATCTCTGGATCAAAATATCAGCACTGCCTCCTCTGGCTGTCTGCTAATTCCTTCCCACCTTCAAATCAGCTATTTGGCGGTGACGGAAGCAAGTGCAATTCCCAGGCGGGTGAGCCGGGAGGCCCCGGGTTCGGATCTCGCCCGGCTTCAGACTCCTGCGATACCCTTGGAAGCCAACCGCCCTTCTCTGTGTAAGAGCACTCAATGCTGGCCGACCTGGCAGGGCCGCTGCTGGGATTCTCCCTTGGCAGAGTGAGTGAAACGCGGCTCTGCAGACAAGGAGGAAGAGGAGGATTGTCCGGCTCGGTGTCTTTCAACCGTGGCCGCTTTCGGGTGGGCGGATGTCAACTCCCAGGATTCCCCAGCCAGCCGGGGGACTTGAAGTCCACCCCAGGCTGGCTGGGGCATTCTGGGAGATGACGTCCACCCATCCTAGAGTGGCCAAAGTTGAAAGACAGCGGTCTAGCTCCACAAGGGCCTCACCGGTTTCTCCCCACAGAGATCTAGGAAGGAAGGAAGGAAGGAAGGAAGGGCCAAACTCTGCCCCACTGAGATTAGAAGGGCTGAAACGCACCCCGTGGAGGGGACGCCCAACAGCTGGGGAGGAGCGCCAGGATTCAAATGTCTCTCCTGCCAGCCTGGGATGCCAAGATGCCCACCGCAGTCCCAGAAGACTTACCCAGTTGGGCTGCGGCTCAGCTTCCAGCAGGCGGAAGGCAAACGGGGTGGTTTTCTGCTGGTTATAAAGATTCACCGCCGAGGCAATCGCCTGATCGTAGGTGACCACCTGGGCCGGGGGGGCCGCAGCGGCCACCCCCAGGAGCAGGAGCAGTGCCCAAACACCCGTCATCTTTCTCCACTTGCTCTTCGAAGGGCTCTGGGCAGGCCTGGGGGTGCCACGCGGGCGCTGCCTTTATAGCCCATCTCGCGGGGGCTTCCTCTCCGGGGGCTGGCAGCTGGCTTCCCACCCCCCTCCCATCCAGGAAATGCCTGTCTGGGGCCAACCGTGGAGGGAAAGGGCCGTTGGAGGTGTGGGGAAGACCTGTCGAAATGCCCCTTGCGAAAGAGCCCACCTGGGGAAGCTGAGAGGGTCTCTGGGCTGGGAAGCCCGGAGAGAAGACGGGGGTCTCCGTTAGGCAGGTCAGCAGGAAAAGGCTTAGCCTTGTGAGGTAGATTGTACCCGGCTGCTACGCGTTTTTCGTTTTATTTGTTTTTACATTGTTTTATTTGGGAGGTTTTTTATATGTTTTATATGTTTTTATATTGTTTTATTTGGGTTTTTTATATGATTTGTGTGTTTTTGTGCTGGCTGGGGAAGTCCACCCACGTGAAAGTTGCCCCTAAAGAAAGCTTAGTAAGGGTTTAATAAGGATCTGGGTCATGATTTGTCTTTCTCGATAAACATTTTATTGAAGAAATCAAGTCCAAAAGAATTGAACGACTTTTCAGGAAGGTCCCACTTTCGTCTTTTTAAAGGCAAGCTTTATCTCTCCCCTCTTTTGAAGAGAAATTCCCTGCAGTTCACGTCTAGGGCCCTTCCCTGCAAATCCCAAATACGCCTTGGCCATGCCCAGGGGGGTCTGTGGGCTGGTCAAAAAGGTCAAGATGGCAGCCGTGATGTTGCCGTCAAACTCCTGCGTTTTGGGTGCGGTGGGGCCGGAGGGGCCGGGTTTCTGGCATCTGCAAGCCGGACGGGGCCCTTCAGCTCACCCGCAGAGACAGGGGCCCCTTTCTGGCCCCTCCCAGGCCCTCGCCCCTCTCCGGGTCCCTCCCTAATCATGCGCCGGCGTGGCCGGAGGGAGGCCCCCTTCGCGTTCCCGGCCTTGGTCTCCACCGATTAAGCCCGGGCGTCTGCATCCATGTTGTCCTTGCGCCAGTCTTTGCCCAGTCTTGCCACGGGCTCCAGACGGGGTTTGGGGCCTCTGTTCACACGACCCACAGACTAGGCTAAGGCCGGGTGGAGCATCGGCACGTGGTGGCCGCCCAACCCATGTCTTGGGAAGTTGTGCAAAGGTGTATTTCTTTGCACAAAGCATGTTACGGAAACACAGCAACTGTGGCTGATTAATCCAGGTTTAGTACCAAAAAAGGCAGGATCGCCTGTGGGTCAAGCTGGGCTGCTCGTGGTTTCAGGGACGGATCCATCTGGGTTTCTTGGCCACAGCACAGACACGCTTTTTCCCCGGGGACATATTGTCCCCCCCCCCAGCTCAGCCTACAGCCCTTGGATTACCTCATGGCCTCCCATCCAAGAAACAGGTCTTCCTGGACACAATAGACCAGACTATGAACGAAGCAAACAGACCAGCTTCGTCCATCCTGCCAAGTCCCGCAGTGAAAAAGGTCACCACCCGGGGCTGCGAGGGCTACACCAGCCACGGACAGAAGCGAGAGCGAAGACCAGGCAGGGCCATCCGGACAACCTCCAGAAGTCAGCCTCTCCTCCCAGGAGCAGAGGGGCAAGGGTCAACCTCGGGACTCATATATACGTGGCTGGACCTTGCGAGCGCCGATTTTGTGCCCTCAGGCCTCCTTTTCTGACCCGTGCGACCAAAGGAGCTTCTCCAGAGCTGTGTCCTTGAACCTCTCTCTGCAAGACGGGGCCAAGCCTGTTGGCGAAAAACTAGCCAACTT